TAAGAAAACGGCGAAGATAAAAAAAACTTTACCATGTCAAAAAGTGGATGAAAAATTCTGAAAAGAGATACCGAAACCTTGGAGAGGTGTTGTATTGCCCCTTTTTCGACTCGCTGCGAACGAAAGCACTTGGTCAAGACTCGACTTATTCATACAAATTTGAGTGAGGTTAATTGATTTATCGCGATTGAGTTAAAGGGCAAAGCAATGAAAGACGAATTCTATTCAATGTAGTAAATATATCATTACAATAACCATAAGACGAGAGAAGGAATTAATTAAGTTTAACGAGCCACAAATGGATGGAATCAGTGACACACTTGAGAGTGACGTTCTGGTCGAACATTGGCTTGTCGGTGTCTTCTTTCTGTTTCAAAATGACGCCATAAGTCTTGAGGAACTCTTTCTGTTCATTGATAGCCTCGTCAATTGCCTCGTGGTTCTTGTCGTCATACGAATACAAGACAACGACATTGTCTTGAACTTTAAGGCCAGCGTCTTTACGTAACTTCTGGACTCTGTTGTTAACTTCTCTGCAAATTCCTTTCTCGATAAGAGCCTTGTCTCTGACGATGTCCAATAAGATTAACACGTCCTTTTCCCACATTGGTTCTTCAATAGTCGTATCACCAGTGAATTGTCTGTGGACTTTAAGGTCTTCGTCAGTGAAGGTCTTACCGTCATACTCGATTGTTCCAGTCTCCATAAACTTCAAAACTTCATCTCTGCCTAACTTCTCGAAGTAGTCGCAATACCTCTTCCCATCCTTTCTATACTTCTTGCCAATAACACCCTTTTCTGGAGCGAATGAGAGTGCAATGTACTGTCCTTGTTCAGTCGTAGTGATCACGTCTTCGACATTCAATTCGACTAAAATGTATTCCTTGAACTTCATTAAGTCGGCCAAGAACTCTTTTGAACTGTGAATGATAGTCAATTTCCTTAATGGCTGCTTCAATGGCAAAGTCTTTTTGTCACGAGCGACTCTTCCTAACTCAATGATCTTTTTCAGTGCTTCGACTGTTTCCTCCAATTTTGCGTCGTGGTACTTCTCAGTCGGCTCTGGGATTTGGCAGAAGTGGACTGAAGCGAACTTCTCTTCTTCGTAATTCAAAGGATAGTTCTGGAGCTTTTGGTAACAGAACTCCGAGAAGAAAGGTGTGAATGGAGCCATTAATACAGCCATGATCTTAAGGCAATGATATAAAACAGAACACGAAGTTAATCCACTCTCCCCTCTAAACCTCTTTCTATTCAATTTGATGTACCAATTCGACAAAGTGACCAATAAATCAACCAAAGGTGCTACGACAGTGTACAATCTAAACTTCTTCATCTCTTCTCTGACCTTTTTCACAAGCGACATTAAAGAGGAAAGAATCCATTTGTCCATATCATTGATTCCTTCTATTTTGTCGATTGCCATTATCTTCATTCCAGGCTTGAAGGATTGCTGCAAATATTTCATAGTATTGAACCATGGAAGGAATATGCTTGAAATCAATTCCTTCAAAGTCTTCTCTTGGAACTTGACAGTCTCTGCTCGGACCGCAGGAGAGTTGATCAAAGAAAGTCTTAAAGCATCAGCACCATACAAATCGATCATCTCGACGGGGTCTGGATAATTCTTCAATCGTTTGGACATTTTCTTTCCATCAGAAGCTAATACTAAGCCATTTACTATTAAATTCTTGAATGGTGGTTTGTCGAATAAAGCAGTGGATAAGACTAAGAGGGAATAGAACCAACCTCTTGTCTGATCAATACCTTCAGCGATGAAATCACAGGGGAACGAATTCTTAAACTCTTCGACATTTTCAAATGGATAGTGCGCTTGGCCATAAGGCATCGAACCAGACTCAAACCAACAATCAAAGACTTCAGTGATTCTGTGAAGCTTCTTCCCATTCTTTTCTATTACCAAGTCATCGACGTACTCTCTGTGTAAGTCAGTGATCTTCTGGCCAGTCAATTCTTCTAACTCTTGAACGGACCCAACACAGACAAATTCACTGAATGCGTCATCCGTCCAAATTGGAATTGGAGTTCCCCAGAATCTATTTCTGGAAATGGCCCAGTCACGAGCATTGGACAACCAATTTTGGAAGCGCCCTTCACGAATGTTCTCGGGGACCCAATACGTCTGTTTGGAGTTCTCAACTAATTTGTCCTTGAAAGACTCGACGTTGACAAACCATGAGGGGATTGCTCTGTAGATCAAAGGAGTATCACTTCTCCAACAGAATGGATAGGAGTGGACCATTGGTCTTGAGTCGAAGACTCTTCCTTCCTTCTTCAATCTGTCGATGATGTCTTTATCACAGTCTTTAATATATCTTCCCTTGTAATCAGTCACTTCGTCTGTAAAGTTACCAGAGAAATCGATTGGGCAGACCAATTTTGTTCCTTTTGAAATGACACCGTTGGCCAAACAGACTCGATAATCGTCTTCACCAAAACCAGGAGCTTGGTGGACTATTCCAGTACCAGAAGTGTTGTCGACGTAATCATCAGAAACGACTCTGAAGCACCCTTCTAAGTCTTTGAAATAAGGGAACAATGGGACGTAGTGTTTGCCGACCAAATCCTTTCCTTTCATCTTTGCGATGATGGTCCTCTTTGCTTTCTTAGCGTCTGGAAGAGACGCCATTCGACACTCTAACATGTAGTAATTATGTTTAGTCTTTTCATCATAGAACTTGACGTAATCGTAATTGGCATTAACACACAAGGCAAGGTTGGATGGAAGTGTCCATGGGGTTGTGGTCCATCCCAAGAATGAGGTGTTCTCTTCTCCGACTACAGGGAATGTCATAGTGACAGTAGGATCACTGACATCTTTATAAGAAAGACCAGCTTCAAAATTGGAGAGTGGAGTGCAGCACCCAGTGGAGAATGGCATCACCTTCAATCCTCTATAAACTAACTGTTTCTCATATAATTGCTTGAATACCCACCAGACGGATTCCATAAAACTGATGTCCATAGTCTTATAGGCGTGGTCCATATCAATCCAACGTCCAGTCCTCCAGACCACTTTCTTCCACTCCTCTGAATAGCGCATGACAATGTTTCTGCACTCTCTGTTGTAATTTGGAATACCATATTTCAAGACTTCGTCAGTGGTGTGAATGCCTAAGATCTTGTCGATCTCAAACTCAATGGGAAGACCATGGGTATCCCATCCAAATTTCCTGTCGACTCGATGGCCAGTCTGAATTGCATATCTGCAGACAGTATCCTTTATAGTCCCAGCTAAGAGGTGGCCATAATGTGGAAGACCTGTTGCAAAAGGTGGCCCATCATAAAAAGTGAATTTGGGGCGGTCTTTTGTCAGTTCGTTGCACTGATCAAACACTTTGATGTCATCCCAGTACTTCATTATCTCTTCCTCCATCTTGGGGAAGTTGATGTGATCCGGAAGCTCCATGGTGTTCATCGATTTGTATTCGAGTGCACACTAGGGTTCCTTTTATGCAGTGACACGTTGTGTCTTACTTATTGGTATATGTTTCTATAATTACACTATTGGGTAATATTGGATGGACTCAAAAAAGTATTATTAAATATAGTTTTGTTCTGATTTGAGTTTAATAAAGTTTGGTTAACGGAAAATCTGTCCTAAAAAATTCCTCAGGGTTGAAGTTCTAAACATTTTTGGTTCTTATTTTTGGGAAGAACAACCCGAGAAAACACATTTAAAAAGAGTGTGGTAATAGTTTGTAGTTGGGTTAAAATAAGAAATAGTTACAGTTGTAGATACATGAGTTATGTCTTTTTGTATTAGAAGCTGTACTGCATTACTAAGGAATAAATAGAACCACTCTTGTGTATGGTCTTCAAATAATATTGAAAAAACAACAAACTAATTCTGTTAATTGTTTAATTCATCAACTTTAGCTAATGTTTTTATATAACACTCTTCATATTTGTAAAAAAAAACAATGAATCATTATTATTTCTATCAAGTTGTTTGCTTAACACAAAGTTAATACATTGAGTGATACAAGTTTTGGTATTTACAAAGCCTTTCAATGTCATTAATTAATAGAAGTAATGTACAAACGCTATCAAACACATTTTACACTTGCCACGTAAACAAAAAAAATCAACTATTGTTTATAATATAAACAAAGAGTAAATAGCTATTTTTAAAACACAAATGATTTTATTTTATAATACAAATATGAGATAATATAAAAAATGTTATAATTTATTCTGAATAAAAAGAGATAACTATAATAACTTCATACAAAATATCTCACCAAACAAAAAGTTAAAACAGAACTAAATAGAACTAAAAACAAAAGCTCATGAATTTGGTCAAATGGATAATCTTATCCGGCTGTTTCGTGAGTTGGTACTTTTTAGTCCGCAACGAGTCGTTGTCAAAGGTCGACGTTTTGTTTAGAGAGCCGTATGGGGGGAATTCTCAGAGTGAATTAAAGTTTGTTACTATAAATAAATAACAATAAACTTAAAATATATAGTACAGTGATTTAAACACCCGAGTACAATGATTGTAAATAAAAGAACTATAAAAATATGATACCGTGAGAACAAAGAACTCAACGAGTAGTGCAAAACCGTTAATTACTGATATTGACGGAGATGGAGAAAACGAGTTGGTAGTAGCGAGTTATACAAGTCACAAGGTGATCATGTATAAATATCAGAAAGGTCGTTTAGTAGTCAACAAAGAGTTAGAGATTCCCGGCCAAATGTTTCCGATTGGTATGAGCAGTGGGTATGAGACGCCGTATGTCGAGGGTGAGAGACGGAAACAAATTGTGGTGATTGTCATGCGAGACTTTGAGGTGATTTGCTTAAACTCTGATTTGACGATTCGGTGGAGACAAAATGCATATAAGGCGAAAGCACAGGCATTTGTCCAAGAAGTCGCAGTGAGTGTTATTCCATATAATCTCCAAAATGGATATAAAGGTGCTGTCATCACAGCTTTCAGAACATCAAACGACAAAGGGTTTGCAAGAAATCGAGCGGATGAGGTCTTTGAAGAGGACGAACGTGTGACCACGCGAGGCGTCACGTTTGATGAGCAACGAGATGATATGGCAAATGAACAAAATGTGAATGAGGTGGGGGACTCCCCAGAGTTGAAGGAACATATGAACTACTATGCGTTCCATGTTAAAGATGGTCAAGTTATTTGGCAACATGAAATGGACGAAGAAGAGTCGACTTTGGATTTAGTGAAGAACGCCGACGAAGTTGAATTATTCAAAAGTGTGAAGATGAAAGCCGAGAAGGGAGAAGGACTTGGAGAAGTCCAATGGCATGAGTTCCATGACGCACTCTTCCAACACTTACCACATAGTTGGTCGTCATTCTTTGATACTAAAATAGAGTACTCCCATCTTTCTAGAGATATTGTGAATAACCCGACGGAGTATAAGAACATCAAAGAACTGAGTAAAAGAAAGAACACCCCACATAACGATATCGACTTGATCAAAAACCCGAACACCTTTTTAATACACCACATGAACGGTGTGGAAGTCATTCATCTGTTCACTGGGAAACCAGTCTTTCACATCACGTTGTTGCCTTCGACAGTATCTTCGGCATCTTCTTTTGTCGACTTGGACGGAAATGATGTGCTGGACGAGATATATACACACGCGTATTTACTCGACTACGAGACGACAACCGTTGATAACGACTTTTCATGCTACTTACACGTGACAGAGGCCAACTCGTATCGATCTGTGTTCTCACAAAACGTGTGTGAAGACAAGAAAATATCTTTTTGGGCGCCAAAGAGTAAAGGAAGGGTTTCGAAGAAAGTCCAGATTCTTCCGCCACTTTTAGTTGAAAGTGGTGAAGTAACAAAAGAGGGGAGGAAGATCTACGACATCTACTCTGTGAATAGTAATGGACTCTTAGTGGCTATTTCAAATAAAGGAGTCAAAAAGTGGAGCGCACAGATTCCGACGAAATGGGGGTTAAATCAAGTCGAGATGAACACGTTCAAACCAAGTTCAATACAATTCCACTATACTTATGGACAGAACTTGACAGTCCCATATTTGCTTGTACAAGGAGATTCATCGTTTAGTGTTTTGGACTTAATGGGGAATGTCGTTGCTTTCAAGGAGTTTGGAAAAGTGTCACCCATCATGCCTCCTATTGTCGGCGACATAGACGGAAACACAAGAAGTGATGTCATCATCGTCTCGGAAAGTTACATTATGGGATTTGCGTTAGAAATTGTACCTTCGGCGAAATTCATCCCAGTGTGTATTGCGGGTATACTTGCGCTCATCGCTTACCATATCTATATCCTCGCTATTTCTTATTACAAAAAACAGGAGTAATTTTGTAAGTGTGCGACTTTGAGGTTTTCTTGTTTTGTATAACATTTGTATAACATTTTTAACACTAAAAAATGGTTTTCAAATTATTGGAAATTAGGTTATGGAAAAACATATCATTGAGTTTAAAATTTTGTTATAATAATAGTAAATTTATAATTATTATTAGTAAGATTAAACAGTTGACAATTTGTTAAAAACAATCAATAATTTGCTAAAAAAATAAATCCTGGTTTCTAAAAATAAAAATTTATTTAAAAAATAATTATATATGAATAACATAATAATTATAATTTAATAGTTTTAAAAAACAAAACAAATATATTTTGTTTTTGTTTATTTGTTAATTTGCAAAAAAGAAATTTAGAATCTATAACTCAAGTTTTTAGTCTCCATAAAGCTTTTGAAAACAAACGATGAGACCAACATGACATTTATTTAAAAAATTTACTATTGTTTTGTTGTAAATTAATAAAAAAGAATCATCATTTATTCTAATAATTAAAGGAAAAAAGACAATATCAGTGTATATATAAGGGTAATTCTTGAACAATAAAATCATTGAGCTTGTATCAGAATGAGTATCATACCAATTATACAAGCCCAACATTATGGTAATTTTCAGACACAAACGTTCATTAACGCGATGAAAGACATTCTTCAATGCGAAGATACTATTGAGAATTCATTTGTTCGGTCAGTCATGGAGTATAGAATGACTCACAACATAAAGACAATCCAAGAAACCGTCACAGTCTTTTGTGAATATTGTATTGTTGGAGATAAGACCAAGGAAAGACTTTGGAACATTTTTGGAAGTACATTTTCTTACATATGTGAGATACTCTTTTCCAATGATAGTGACAAAGAGTTGACTGAAGAGAAGATCCACTTGATGAGCTTGATGAGATACTTTGTGAAGTCGTGTTTGTTTACACAGGAACTTGTGTCAACCCAATACTTTTTGGAAAATATTTTCTACTTAATGAAGGACGACAGACTCTTTGTTTCCTCATGTTTACTTATTGAGTCCATTCTTGAACAAAGAGAACACACTTTTGATTTGGAGAACATTGAGTACATTGACAGCATCATTTCAAATGCAGACACTCTCCACTTTGGTATCTTCCTTATTGTTGTAAACTACCTCCTCTACGAGAAAGACAAGAGTGACGAACACATTGTTATGAAGAACACAGAGAAGCTTGCAAAATGTGGAGTCATTGATCGAGCTCTTAAGATGCTTTCTTTGTCCTCTGTATCACTTGCTATTATTCACTTGCTCGAGAACTCGTGTATTGAAGAGACCGATAAGCTAATCGCCAATTTCTACGAGAGATGCGACAATGAGATGGAGACCTACCCTGATGTTGACATCTCTTTTGAAGGAGTCCAAGGAATATATGCTTGTGACATAGTGAGTAATATTGTATTTGTCATCTCGACCATTTTGAGCAACTTGGATGACAAATTTGCAAAAGAAATGTTGAAGGATTCTGACATTGGGGTTGTACTCGAATCACTTTATCAGACCATTGGAATTGAAAACATGCAGACCCCATACCGATCAGATTCCGAGAATGTTGTGCATTTACTTTTCACTCAATTTATTAGACTTCTTTCCAACATTCCAATTGAAAACATATTTGAAGATGTTCAAGAGGATGGCGGAGTCATTGGGAGTATTGTGGAGGACATCCAGTTCGGAAAGATCGACGAAAGTATCCAGGTGCCTTTGTTAACAGTAATTGAGAACATCTCACGAGAATGCAAAGAAAAGGAACAGATCTTTGTTGGGAAGACACTTGGCGTGATTAAGATGGCGACAAAACTCCTTTGTGGAGAGAAGAATGAGAACAAGAGATCAATGATGTACGACATGTTGGGGACACTGGTTAGAGGAAGTCAGGAAAACGTTGAAGAATTTATTCTCTCTCTTGAGAAACCATTTGGAGAATTTTTGAGTGACAGCGTCGAGGATTGCATTTCTTCAAGCGTCTTTTTCAGAACAATGATGCTGAACTTTGTTGAAAATAAAGGGTTCCATCTTAGAAATGCGTTTGAGAAAGAGTATAAAATTATTCAAGAATACATACCAGTCTTCTTCAGAAAACTGACCAATCATGTTGCAAAAGAAGGTGTTGACTCAAACACGATGTGTTGCATGAATACTTCAGTACTTATTCTTGGAATGAAGTCAGTCACTATTAAGGACTTCTTGGGTGAGGATTATTACAATGAGAATTTCATGGGAAATCTTAAGACTGTTGTGAGAGCATTTGTCAAGAAATACCCACAAGATAATAACATTGAAGATCTCTGTAAACTCACACAAACAAATCACTCCGTGTGGTACAACGCTATACGGTGTTTGGAAACTGATAACGACAACGAGAATGTTTATTGATACTCATTACTTTGCTAATTTGGTTTATAAATTTGAAATTATTGAGATTATAAATATCTACAAATAATATGTCATCTAGTCTATTTATACAACTTTATAGTATAGTAATATAGAAATTATAATAATTGTATTTATGATTAGCGTCTTCTTTTAATAAGAACTTTAAGAGTGAAATAATACAAAAACAGTTAATTCAGTCCTTCAAGATCAAGTTCGTTGAAGTTACTCTTTATCTTGGGTATATCTTGAGTGTTTGATTTGTCCCACTCGTTGTATAATTTTAAAGCGGTGTCATATTCGTCGAGTGCATAATGGTAATAAATATGACATCGTAAAGAAGACTGTTCAGGATCGTCACAAATTTTTCGTACGGATGCGACATAATTATCTATGGCTTGAGATATAGCACGGTCAGTTGCTTCTAAGTTTGTGCCGCGTTTTGCACACTTTTTGATGAGACTTGACTCCACCTTGTCATACTTGGCCCAGTTCATGTGGGAACGCCTTAATAAGACGAATCGATACAATAAGAAATGATGGAAAAATTGTCTCACCGTGGAGTTCCAGTGGCAGAAAAATGTGTAGAAGTACTTTTCAAGGAAGAACGTCTGGAAGAACTTAATTCTGAACTTTCCCACGAAGAAGGGAGAAGTGGAGAAAAGGGACTTGAAAATAGAAATGATCAACTTGTGGTTGTCCAATTGGAACATTTTATCGAGTGAAGATATCAGGTAGTCGATGCAGAAAGTGTCCGTCACATATCGCTTGTGTTCTACTAACAAATTGAGCCATTTGCATATTTGGAAAACAGACCAGTCGCAATCAGAAAAAGAGAACAAATTTGTCTGGTTCAATTGTGAACGAATCATGTAATTGATAACCGTTGGATGATCTAATAATAAACTTCTTTTATCATTCTCTCTTAATATCACAACGGAATGATTTGTGGGGGTGTACAGCCGTTGGTAGATATACACAGACACAAAAGTCGAGAGGCCAAATATTTCGCCGTAGTCCACGAATTCGTCGCTCTCTTTCACGGTGAAATAAATGAATTTGGTGTAGTGGAAATAGAATGCCATAAAGACATCACTCTTTGGTAACAACACTTGCATCCACCGCTTATCTAATGTTCGCATTCGCTCTGAAATATCATTTGATTTTTGTTTGAGCATTAGGTGCATTGGATCGAAGCCAAAAATGCGAGGGAATTGGGCAAGAACATCTTGTCTTTCTTCGTCATCAAAACATTTTGAAAATTGCACTGCTTTGAAATTTTGTGGTAATTTCACTAATTCTAACAAATCCTCTCGAAACTCGGGAATTTGGAAAAAGAGGAACGCAAGGACTTGTGGGAAGAATTGAATAAAGGCGGGCGAAACATCATTTTCACAAAAAAATTCGTCTTCTTGCATCGAAGAGTCGGATATCTTACTCGAGAAGTGGCGACTCTTCTTTGGCTGTTCTATTTGACTTATTTCTTGCATGGGACTTGCTATAACACGGGATAAGACGGACTGTCTTCTGTTCTCGTTTGTTGAAAGTGAAGTGCCTTCAGCTACTTTCAAACTGGCTTCTAAAGAGTCGGATGCCTCTTCTAAAGGTGTTGCGGTTACTTGGAGAGTCTCTTCAAGTTGTACAAAAGTGTCGACGTTTAAATTAATTTTTGTGTTCTGAAAATCTTTAACTTTAATGTTGAGGGTGGATGACCTCTCTGTGGACTTGTCAGAAGCGTCGCGTGTTTTCTTTGGGTCAACTTTAAGACATAACTCCATTGAAGCTAACAAGACCAAGTGCTTTGACAATAACACATCTGAAATTGTGTAAAATGTTTCATATAACAGTTTACGTAATTCAGAACCTGCTTTGTAGTATTGTGGTTTGTTTGTCGCATTCACCATCGGATTATTTACGATAAGGTGATGGGGTTGAATTTCTCTTCTATTGATCAGTAATTACTATATTACTATAATTAATTATAGAAAATAACTAGAAACAAATTTGCTGTTGAAGACATAACAAATTACTTCTGTTCGAAGACAAAGAGAGTAAACAAACCTATTTATAAGGAGAATCACAAATTTGAAGAATATCGAAGGGAGAACGAGGTGGTCCAGTTTAGAAAGGCAATCAAGTAACACTCTCCAAATGGAAAAGAGACAATCAAGCATCGCAATCTGATCCTCCGCTGTTTCAATTTTGATTTGAATGTTGAGAGAGGAATAGAGTGGCGTCAAGACTTTTTCGAGCTTTTTAACGTAATTTTTGACAGCAGATTCCTTTTGCGGGACTGTTTTTAAGTCCTTGAGAAACGACGATGACTCTTTCTGTACTGTTTCCACTTGGTCGTGGTATGACATAATTTTTTTGACTGGCTTCGTATGTCCCATTGATCGAGTAATTTTTTTCGAGTCTATGGTATAAACTTTTTTATGAAAACTGGAAATTGGTTTAGAATAGTTATTTGGGTTTAAATAGAATAAGATTTAATATTGTAATGATTTGTTTTTAAAACATTATGAAAATAGTTGTTGGTAACTGGTTTTGTACAAAGACAAAGAAAAGATAGATAGTTGCTGAAAATATAGAATGAGAAAAGACAAAAGTTAGTAACAAAAAGTTTTTTTAAAACATACATCATGCATTTTATTGTTTCGCCCATATTTTTTGAGGTTTTATTTCGAGTTGAAATAAATTTATAGTTCAAGTTTAAAATTTACTTATTTTTTTATTTCAGAATAGTGTACATTTTTTGCAGTGTTTTAAAAACTCAACCCTAAAGTTAAAAATGGTTCCCACAATAGACACAAAGAATTGTCCTATTTACTCGTTACTGAACAAGTCCAAAGAGCCTTTCATATCTCAACCCCACCATCCTAATGTTTCTGTTGTTTTTAATAACAAAAGGACAAATTATGCCAACGTATTTTTTAAAATAAGATAAGAACAAAGAGGCTTTCAATAAGTCCTACTTCAGACAAAAGAGAAGTCTTTTTGACAATTGCAAAGAAAGATTTATTCAACTCAAAACGTGTTTAGCTCGAACAAAAAAAACATTTCAAATTAAGATATGATAAAGGGTGTTAAATCCTATATAATTATCATAAAATGTTTAAGTCAAAGACCTTACATCACGAATTATATAATTGTTTTTAGTTTATATAGTGACGTTTATAAACGTTGATTGAAAACAGCAATTAAGTGCATTAAAATAAGACAAAATTTTATGAAACACAATTAAATAAAAGGTGAAATTGTTTTTAAACAAGAAAAAATGTTCGCAAAAAGGCATTTTTAGTTTGAAATATTACTACGATGAGAAACGTATTTTGTTTGGTGAAGATTTGAAAGAAAAGATCAATTGTTTATTGATACAAACTCTTAGCTTTGCTTGTAAAGCAAGTCACTCATCACAAAAATATGGCTTTGCTTTTTCAAAAGGCGTTATTTAAAATTATGCATGCTCCATGAAACTCTGAAGAGTGCCATAATTAGAGTTTTTTAAAATAACGCTTTCAAAAATACCATAGTGAAAACAATTGTTAACATGTATCTATTTTAAGTAAAAAAAATCTGTGTATTTTGGTAATTCAAAAAAAGTTCAATAATTTGGTTGACCAAAATTATTTATTTTTCGATATTTGTTTTAATCCAAGACAAAGACTGTGTTAGTATGGGCTTTTAGTATCATTCTTATTTGCACCATTGTTCAAAACAAAAGCATCGCGATTCGATATTAAACGAACATTCTTTTTTATGAAAATCTAGTTATTTTTAATCTTTACTTTTGATGTTAATTCGCCTTGTTTGAGTGATTCTACGGGAAAACAGGCCAAATGAAGTTTAAAAAACCCACCATCACAGAATATTTTAAAAATAGTCGGGTGCAGAATTTCCTATTCGTTCTTCCACTCAGTCCTATAAAACATGTTTTTCGTAAATTTCGTCTTATTTTTTCTGATTTCGACTGTTTTATCGGAAAGTGATTATTGACTATTTTTTGGTTGATATTCCAAAATAAGTTGAAAATCCAAGGCTATCTTTACCATGAAAAGCACGGTTTGACATTTATCACCACTTGGCTAACCCCATTTTTATTCAGTCTTATTTTCCTTGGTATTGTGGCAACGAAAGCAAAACACGTTTTTTGAACGAAAAAAAAGCACCCAAAAACAAGTCAAAAGAAACATCATATTATTTAAAAAGACTTTGATGACAAAAATCAAATCTTAAAAAGGTAAAACATCCATCAAAAACTTTAAATTTGGTCTCTTCTCACCCCCCTTCAAAATTATTTTGGTTATTTTCCTTTTTTCAAAAAGGATTTTTGAACACATACAATGTTATATTCCTCATTTGCAAAGGAGTCCAGCGGGTTATAACCCAAATTGCTGTGACCTTCCTACTAAAATAAAAAACCAAGTTTAGCTATTTTCGTTTTTTCGCTATGGAAATTGTCTCGGTCCTTGGCCAAAAATATATCCGTGAATTAAAAGGGCGAACTTGCATCGCTCAAATGTTCATGACAGAAGCAGAAACAGTTGTACAAAGAGGGAACGTCGTCTACGACAAAGAACACCCATGGAACGCGCCCAAGTATCGGCTTAAGAAGCGCGAGAACCGTGACCTTGAAACATACCAACTTGCTATCTTCATGGTGGCGCTGAATCAATTTGCAGACATCTCCATCGAGCGTCCTGCAAAGATGACAAAGAACACTTTGAGCATTCCCAAAATTTGTAAAATTCGCTTCAGTAACCACGATGTTATTGATGTCCAAAGTCTCGCTTTAAAACAGTGCAAATCAATTCGGCAAAAGGAGATCCAAGAGGGTGTCAACCAATCCACCGCGACACGTCGAATTGAAAAGAATAGAAAGGTCTTCATACAAAATTTGGTGATCGACTTGCTTGCCGAATGCAACGTCGTCTTAATCACAGACTTGGCGAGGCTGAGTGGAAAGGCACTGAGGACAGAAAGACTTCAAGAGCTGTGGATCGACAAAACAAAAGTTGTTGGCAAGGAAGACATCATAAGCAAAGGAAGCGCCATCAACCAGTATCTCATCGACTGTGTGGAAAAAACGGGTCACACTTCATTCAAGAAAAACTGCAGAGAGTTGCAGCAATTCTTGCTCTTTTAATAAATAGTATCTTTTTTTGGTTTGGTTCATTTATAGAACGAAAACACGCCACCTTAGTTTGAAAATTCAAAATGAATACATTGAAAAAGTGGTCTGTTTTTTAAGGTGATAGTAATTGGGGTTTTCAGTAAATGCAAAAAAACAAAAAAAAATGGTAAAAACATAAAAAAACTTATTTTTAATAAAATAGATGAAAAAACTAGATACTGAATGTAGTATTTGAAAATAAAAAAATTAAGGTGGCTTGTTAAGAAATACTTTAGAAATTCTACTCAAAGAACCAACCAATCAATGATTTTATTGTTAAGGCTTTGAAACAATGAATATCGTTCAGTCGACCTGATACAAAGTTGACTGCTTAAATAATCTAAATTTGGTCTTTGGTGTTATTGGCTATAAATAAAAACCCCGATATTGTAATCATAACATGTTCATTATGAAAAACAGAGCAAAATAAATTTGATGGTATTATGACAAAAACAAACAATAAATTCTTCATTCAAAACTTGTTTTAATTCTGAAATGGTTTTATTATTTTTTTTCGATCTATTTTTAATTTGTTCATACAGATTTGGTACTAAGGTTTCGACCAGGACTATTGTTTCGACTATAATTAATAATTTTTATACCATTATAAAAACTAAATATGAAAAGTTATATTTGAACCATTTATAATAAATTAGAAAACTTGTTCATTACTATTCAAATAGTATTCTAATGGTAAGTATAAACCTTAAACCACATCCGTCGAAAGTTTAGTCCACATCTCATTTAAATAAATGAGTTTTATTAAAAAAGTCAGCTTGACCATTTCCCATGTAAAGTCATTTTGACAATAAAGATTGTAGCCAGTTAAGTGTTTTAAACCACATTAAAACAATAAACGCCTTAATAACGGCTTGTTAAAAGCTCACTGCTTCATTATATTGGCTCGAGTTTTTTGTGCTTTTTTAGCAAATCGTTGTATTTGTCGTTACACATTAAAATCTTACCCGATTATGTACACGTTGTATTTATGTTTTTATGTCAGCCATCGCGTAAAACGTCGTATCCATTTCTAAAATAACACAGTAAATAATTTAATTGCGACGGAATTAAAATACGAAACACAATAATATTTTGAAGAGGTTTAGAACAAACTTATTATTTTTTTACACAGTCCATTATTATTAAAATGGAGTTTGTTTTAACCAAATCAAAAATAATAGTATTTGTTAGTGTTTTATCGCAAAACAAAACGATTGCGATAAAATACTTCATAATTCTGTTTTTTGCAAAGCAATAAAATGATTTTATATGCGCCAAAAACGTGAAAATTTCCAAACGAAAACAATTATTCATTTGTTTATTTTTGAGCTGAAAACATATTATGAAAACAAAGTGTTTTTGTTTCTATAAATAAATAATATTTTATTTTGTATTGGGATTTTTTGACTCATCAATTACGATTTGTTATTAATAACAATTGGGTTTGTTAGTGTTTTTTGAATGCTTATGTTGAATCTTATCTGGACAACTGAAAAAGTTGTTTGGTTTAAAAATACTTTGTTGTTATTTTACTTTATTTTGTGTTTTATTGGGGTCAAATGTCTGCTAGAATTAAATAATATCAATACTAGAATTCATGCTCTGATATAATATTTTTGAATGACATACTGAAGTATGAGAATGAAAAAAATCGATAATAGTTTTTTAATTGAAACCCTTGTTATAATTAATCCAAATTTGTCATTAGAAAATTCGTATTTTTTCAGGTCAATTTTTTTGAAAACTGTAAATTAACAATTATAATTTACTAACCATATAAAAAATATTTAAAAAATCATTTGGCTTCTATGGTAATTTTGCTTGTTTTGAATAATTTATTCAATCTTTTTGAGTGAAATTGCATAATAATAATCTCCTTGCTCTGTCCAATTATTTTTTGACAAAATCGCCCATTGTTCTCTTATTTTACTTATTCCGCGTTTAAATAGAATGTTTTTTATTGCGTTTTTACAACAGAAGCGTTTTTTCCATACGCCATTTCTTCTCATTTTTTGAAGCCAAAGTTTCCCAACTTTCACACGCCTTTCAAGTTATTTACAAGTCCATTCCAACAGTTCTAAAAAGTTCAACCAACCAACACGCCAATCAGATTGTGAGATCGTTCTACTCCCCCACATTTCCCAACACACTCCTCTTGTATTGAAATCCTCACCGAGTTTCTCATAATTATTTTTTGTGTTAACTGTGGTATGAAATATTAACAAACACGTCTTGTCGTCCAATTTTTATGTTTGTGGACATGACAATATTTTTTAACAAAAATTTTCCATTAGCGTCATTAACAGCGTTAATCTTTTAATAAAAATTTCAAATCTTCCCAAAATTTTCCTTAAGCCGGCACCACCTCCCCACATTTCCTCAAAATATAAAACAAAAATAAAAAAAGCAAATTTACACTGTGGTTTTGTCTCCGATTTGCATCGAAATGAATTGGCATTCCGGCATGATAATACCGAAAAACGTACACATCTTGAACGAAGCTCTTTGTTGTAGAATGACCTTAATGCAGTTCACAAAGTCCTCTCTGATCAGTGGCTTCGTTTTTTTGTCTGTGTTATTATACAAATCGTTCAGCTTCTTATTCTCTTCCATAAAAAGCTTGAAGATGTTCATTACATTCACCACCGCACATCCACCATTTAACGATATTCTAAGCTGCGCGGTACACTGTTTAAACACCGTCTTGAGCAGTGCAATATACCCCACCTCAAACATACTCTTGCTGGGACCAAACGGTATCGATGACACGGCCAAGTCATCATTCTCGGCCTGAATAGCCTTTTCTATCGACGCGAGTAGAGTCGTTCTCATCGTCGCCGATATGAACGACCTCGCCCCCACTGATATCTTCTGTTTGCGCGGCTTTTTCTCTTCACTCTGTTTTTGCGCGGCTTTGGCCTTCTTTTTCGCCTTCTCAAGGCGTTCGATTCTCTCTTTTCTCTCGTTCTTTTCGCGCTCCAATTTTTCTCTTCTCTCAATGCTCTCTGGTCTGTCTCCCTTTCGCATTTTCTCTATTTTCTCAAGAAATTCGGACTTCACAAAAGGCCGACTTAGTTCATTTGTTTCAATCTTCGGAAAATTGGGAGAAGGGAGTATTGTTGGCAGTGCAGAGTTCTCCGAGTTCATTTTAGGTGCTTGTTGTTGAGTGGAGCTTTGTGACTTTTTGTCCTCGGCGCTTTTAGAAAAGAAAAATTCAAGTTCGGTCTCGTCTTCATCGACGTGGTTTTGTGGTGGTGTGTTTTGGGCATTATTTGATACGTCACAATCATTAGACCCACCCACAAAATTGATGTTGTTCTCAATTGTCAACTTGGCCATTTTGAATGGAGAAACTGGGTGATATGTTTGGTGTATCATTTGTATACTCTGTTGGTTTGGAAACATTTGTGGCGTATGGCTCGGTGTCGTTTCTCCATTTTCCGTCTTGACTTCCTCTTCTTGTGCAGGAGACTCTTCTTCCATTTTGAAACTTTCCTGTTTGGTCTCTTCTTCGTTGCCTTCGGGGTTTAAAGGCTCTGAAATTTCCATTTTATTGTTCTGTTGAGTTTGTTGCGTTAAGTCAGTGGGGGTATTAGGGAACATCTGCTGAAGTTGTTGTTTTGCACGAACAACAGCTAGTTGTTTTTCAAGGTCCATAAACTCCCCCATTTTTTCTTCCCAGATTTGTTGGGCTTTGACAAGTTCATCCCAGGAAAGGTCTTGGTCGTGGTGCGACTTCTCTATCTCGGTCTTAAGGAAAACGTTTTCGCGCTGAAGTTCTTCGAGGACGGTTTTGCTCTTCTTGAGGGTGGCGAGCTCGGAAGCGGTAATAGTTATCATCTTTTTTTGCATCTTGTTCTGTGTTTTTAAGTTCTGCAAGTGATTTGATACATTTCTTATGTGTGGTTAACTTTTTCCATTTGGAAATTGACGGCAAATCGAAAGAGTTTGGTTTTTTAACGTTGACTTTTGCAAACAAAAAGACCGAATACAAACAGTTTTCTCTTGTTCTGCAGTTGTTTTACCATCTGTTACAAACAAGGATTCTTTATAATTTTCTCTGTTTCGTGTTCTATATCTGGATTTTTCATCTTTTTTTGGAAAACTCAGAATTTCTGTCGTTTTAAAAAACAACCACTCAACTTGTTACCCGTATTATTGCGAACAATACAATCAAGAAATATGTTTCTCTTTTTGTTTGATATTTAGAGATTTGGTTTGCGACAAATCTATGTTAAGAACATGTCTTATTTTTAAAATTTTTATTTTTTGGACTGGTGTAAAGAAAAAAAAATTGTCCAATTATTATTAATATTATTAAATACGTTTGATTGAATGGTAAAAAAGAAAAAGACACATCTCAAAAATAAAAATTATCTAGATAACCCTACCCATCTATCAATGATAAATACAAAACTATAATGTAAATTATCATTTATAAAATTTATTTGGATAAAAAAAATAATTTGGTTTTATCTTTGTAAAAAGAAAATTTGATGTTTTTTGTTTTAAAACAAGAAAGTTAACAACATTTTTTTAGCTTTTAAGGTTTCGAAAATATTCCTAAATAGAGCAAAATTGTTTTGAATTTAATTGCGGTTTTAATAGGAAAATAAGGCTTAATGTTAAAACAACAAGCCAACCCGTTGAAAAGGTTTTAAATATACACTAAATCTTTTATT